CCTGTGACCCGAGTAAAGGTGCTATATCCCATCTTAATCTCCTTGAACTGATTGGCAGATCACAGAAGATAACATCATGAGGATGTTGACATTACTTAACTGTCAAATTACATCGTTATGTAACTGCCACACTCCTGAGACTCATGGCCTAGCCCAGTTGACACCTTTTTGGGGGGACACACTCTAATCTATGACACGCTTCTTCTTCTGTTGTCCAAAGGATTAGAGACCAATTATTGTGTTTAGTTTGGCTGCTTGCAAGCTTTTAAACCCTCAGATATGACACCCTGAACTAGGAGGTAAAACAGAAGCACTAAGCAAATTATCAGAGCATTGAGCTGGGATGTCTCACAAAACCATGACACTAAAACTCCAAATTTGAATGCTGAGCAAATAAATCAGAGAAGCTGGATTATACGAAGGAGAAAGAGGTATCTGGAATAGAGGAGGCTTGTTAACAACCTGCAACATGCCTATGACACAACTTTGCTTGCTGAAAGCGAGGAAGACTTGAAGCACTGCTAATGAAGATCAAGGATCGCAGCCTTTTCAGTGTGGATTACAACTCCATGTAAAGAAAACCAAAATCCTCACAACTGGAACAATAGATAATATCATGACCAATGGGGAAAAAGTTGACGTCTCCAGGATTTCTTCTTGCTTGGATCTACAGTCAGTGCTCATGGAAGCCACTGTGAAGACGTCCAACAAAGTGTGGCCGTGGGTACGTCTGCTGCACCAGACCTCTTTAACATGGTGAAAAGCACGGCTGTTATTGTGAGGACTAATGTGAGCTTGGCCCAACCCGTGTGCGTGTGATAGCTGGACATTGAATCAAGAAGACCAGAGAAGAATGGATGCGTTTTAATGATGGTGCTGGGGGAGAATATTGAAAGTACCGTGGACTGCCAAAATAACAAACAAGTCTGTCTTGGGAAGATGTGCAGTCAGAATCCTTGTGGGAAGTAAGGATGGTAAGACTTGGTCTCAGGTACTTTGGACATGGTATCATGAGAGACCAGTCCCTGGAGAAGGACATCATGCTTGGTAAAGCTGGAGGGTAGTAAAAAAGACGCAGGCCCTTGATCAGATAGAGTGACACAGTGGCTGAAACAAGAATGCAATAAGAACAACTGTGAAGATGGCACAGGCTTGAGCAGTGTTCGGTTAGGTTGTCCATAGGGTGACTATGAGTTGGAACAAACTTGATGGCCCCCAACAACCACAGCCCTCCAAATCAAAGAATTAGATCCCATGAAGTGGTTGGTTGTGCCGAAGCAGTCTCAGTAGCGACTCTTTTGTCATATGTCCTTGTCTATATGACAATGGAGAAATAAAACTATGTGCATATATTTATATGTTAAGTATTAAGGTACCCGATGATCAGTGGGCCTGTACTCAAGTACTCCCTCAATGCAAGAACACTTTGTTCTATTAACCTGGCATTCCGTGGTGCTCACCCTCAACATGATTGTTGAAAACAAAATGAGCGCATAAGCAAATGTGGTGAAGAAAGCTGATGGTGCCCTGCTATCAAAAGAGATAGCATCTGGTGTCTTAAAAGCTTGAAGATGAACAAGTGGCCATCTAGCTCAGAAGCAATGAAGTCCACATGGAAGAAGCACACCAACCTGTGTGATTGTGAGGTGTCAGTGGGATCGGGTATCAGGCATCAAAGGCCCAGAACAAAAATTCATAAATGTGAATGAGGAAGAGTGCAGAGTGGAGACCCAAAATCCATTTGTAGACAATTGGACATCTCCTCACAGAAAGGTCACAAGGAAGATATGAGTCAGTCAGGGTGCAGTATAGCACCAATGAAACATATAACACTCCTCTTGTTTTTTAATGCCCCCCCCACTACCATGACCCCAATTCTACTTTACAAATTCGTCTAGACTAGAGCATGTACACGGGTACAGGTAAGAGCTTGAAACACAGGGAATCCAGGACAGATAAACCCCTCAGGGCCAATAATAAGAGTAGGGCTACTAGGAGGGTAAGGGGATGCTGGGGGCAGAAAGAGGGAATGGATCACAATGATCTACGTATAACCCCCTCCCAGGGGGATGAGCAACAGAACACTGGGTGAAGAGAGACATCGGTTAGTGTAATATATAAAAAATAATAATAATTTATAAATTATCAAGGGTTCATGGGAGAGAGAAGGTGGGAGAGGAAGGGGAAAAAATGAGCTGAGACCAAGGGCTCAAGTAGGAAGCAAATGTTTTGAGAACGATGAGGGCAGCAAATGTATAAATGTGCTTGACACAATGGATGCATATATGGATGTGGTAAGAGTTGTATGAGACCCAGATGAAATGAAAAAACAAAAAAACCCCAAAAACAAACAAATAAAAAAAGATATGTGTTTTAGGTTTTCTGGAAGAAAGGCGAGGGGGAGATAAACTACCATAAAAACCTCCCTGCTTTAAGTCAGAGGTTCTCAGCCTGTGGGTTGTGACCCTTTGGGGGTCAAATGATCCTTTCACAGGGGTTGCCCAATTCATAACAATAGCAACATTACAGTGATGAAGTAGCTACAAAAATAATTTGATGGTTGGGGGGTCACCACAACACAAGGAACTGTATGAAAGGGTCGCGGCACTAGTAAGGTTGAGAACCACTGCTTTGATTTATTCTGCAGGCCCCAAGACCATTCAGAGTGATGCGCTCACCCGAGATCCTTTCTCAGCTTATCTGCTCCGTTTTTTCCCACCAGGGATCCAGCTTGTTTGTTTATTTGTTTTGTTTTGGTTTTGTCTGGCGGCCCTGCTCCCACAGCATGAAGCTGCTTTGGGAAACCTGTCTTAGCACCGGGCCATATCCTGCCATTGAAGTTCACGTCTATAGACGTTCCGTCTGAAAAAACGGTGATAGGATCTATCCCATGATTAGATGCTTCCCTTGGAGAGAAGGGAGCCCCCAGAGTCCCTCTGTCCAGAAGTCACACAGCTAGGACCCTGTGATGAAACCATAAGTAGGACTCCGTGTGTTAAGGCCTTTGGTGTCTCCCTCCACAAGTCTGAGTGTTTCCCTGCTTCTGTTTGACTCACCTGCTGCCCCTTCCACTTCTCTCAAGCTAGCCCTCCGCCTCTTCCATTGCAGATAAGCCAAGGAAGTGCATTTCTGTAACTGTGAATCTACATATGCAATTTGTGACTCCCCCCCCCCTTTTTTAGAAGAGGGTTATATTTTATCATAGGAGGACAGCTCACTTAATCGTGCTATTTTAGAATGCAAATATGAGCTTACTAGAGGGTTGTTGTCAATTTTTGAACAGCATTTAGTGCCTCTACAGATCTTGTTCTCACTTGCTTCCTATTTAGAACTGCTTTCAAGTCCATTAAGAGGCCTAACATTTTCTTCTGCGTTTGATGAAGTTTTGGTCCCTTGATTCCATCTTCAGTACTTTGTAATGTGAACCTCCTGTTCCTTCAGGCTGTGCAGGGAGGGAGTGTTGATTCTGGGAGGGGAGAAAGCATGCTTGTACTGAGTTTTCCTGCAAGCAAGTTGAGGGCCAAGGATCTTTGAAAGGGGGGGGGGTCTCTAATGTTAGTTCTGGTATTGAGTTACCATGGAGATGTGAAGGGGGGGTGAAGAACGAGGGAGGAGAAAGATAAAGACGGTGACGCTCAGGGATGATCTCTCCTATTATCCCCCATCATATGCCATAGGAGGAGAACAGCTGTGCAGTGGTCAGAAAATTTGGGGGTGATCTCTGCTTCTACAGGAGGCTGGTAAAAATATTCCCATCTTCTGAGCCTGTGTCCTCAGTTTAAGAAAGTGGGGTGGTAGCTGTGGTTGGTAAATTCCTATCAACCCCTAAAATCTGCTGTTCCTTCCTGAAAGGAAAGGGAATTTACACACACTTTTTTTGTTGTTAACTCAAATTGAGCCTCTAATCCTGTCTTTAAATAGTAATGACTATGGACTTGCTCTGTTTTTAACTAATTATCTGTGGGCAAATGTTGAACCACTCTGAATCTAATTTTCTTCTTGATAACTTGGGTGCCCATGAGACTTTACTCCGGGTTATTGTGAGAATGTATGCTATGTAGGTATCATTGACCAATGAATGCACTACAGGAAATTAGAGCCATCTCTTCAGACAGCCACCTCTTCCCACAAGATCCCCGAGAGAAACGACAAGGGGACTTCAGAGATCATGGAGCAATTCTGTGATCTTTGATTAAAGTGTTGTTTCTCTTCCATTATATTTAAATTCCATTTTTCATGAGCTTTTTGCAGCTCCTTCATGTGTGTCTGGGGAAAATGACATGAGATGCCTGCATTTTTTCACTTTGGCCTCTAGGTTCTTGAGACCCCCTAGGGCAGGACTGAAGGGTGAATTCCTTTAGTCTAGGACGGAGAAACCTAAAACTCAGGATCAATGCAAACCATGCCTGTCCTTCAGGCACATGTGAGCACAAGGGAAAGAGGTAGCAGTCCCCGGGCCTGACTTACCTCATTAGGTAAGGTGTGGCAGTGGAGCTTCCCTAGAAAGAACAGTCCCCCTGTGGGAGTATGTCCTGGGCCCTTTACTCAGCTTGGGGAAGATTTCATTCCACCAGCCTAATGAAATGTCTTCCTTTTTGACTACTTCCTAACAGCCTTCCTTCTCCTTGTGAGCAACAGTCTACGCTACACAAAGTAGCCTAAGTCTTTGGGGAGCAATTGAAGAAGACAAGTAGAAGTTGAAGGCATTTTCACCGCAGGGTCAATAATTATACTCTTAGGAGTAGCTTCAGAGCAAGTACTTCCTTTCATCGTCATGATACAAACAAGAAAGTCATCTTGATAGGATGCAGTGTGTCCCAGAAGAAGGCAATGGTCTGCAATCTCTCAGACGACAGAGCCCAGCCTGAATGCCAAAGGGATTATGTGCTTACACGTCTGTGTCTTCCCTGCACCAGCTTTGTTAGGTGCTGGGAAAGCCCTTAGATAGATACACCAGGACGCGTGGACGTGAATGATAAAGGAAAAAACAAACAAATCTGGATCATTACCCAACTATGACTCAACAACTGAATGGGTAAATAAAGGGTGACCTATTTGTGTTGAGGATTGCTGTAC